TAGGTTTGGGGTGTTGATTGTTAATTATTGGTTAAGGGTGTTGTTTACTTTATGGGTGATAAAAAATAATATTGATTATAACCATTTGAAACTTTAGAATTTATCTAGGAACAAGAGAATTGGTTATTGGGTCTAGAGACACCACTAATAAGGACTATGAAGCTTTATTCTCACCAAGTTTTTGATAAGATACTTAAGTGACCAAAACATAAGCATCATAGCTAATATGGAATCCCTTTGACTTGTATTGCTATAGATTAAAGTTGAAAGGGTTGACAAACGTTGTATTACGCTCAATAGCAGGAAGTTAAGGTATGTGAGGCTAGCTCTCTATGTTTGGGAATGTTAATAATTCTCCCTACATTATGTTCCTTTTCCCACGTTACTAATTGTCTCAGAAATATAGTTTAGCCTAATTCCTTGAATAGTTGTAGAACTTCTATTCTCCAGCTTCATAACTCGTTCATGACTTTCATTCTGAACGTTATGAGCTCAGTTCGTATTCAATATAGACTTGGGCTTGATGTCCCTGAGTCTCAGTATAGCTTACTCAGCATGTCATATACAGTTAAAGTTTAGTATTCATAATCAGTTCAAGAATACATGTCTCAGTCTAGTCCTATTCAGTATTCCAGTATTATGTAACTTAGTGTGACTCAGCATTTCAGTATCATGTATTGTAATATGATTCTCAGTTCCTGATTTTATATTCTTGAATGTTGAACACCTGTATTTGGGCCTGAGGCCGCAGTTATGTATACATATGCTTGGACCCGAAGCCGTATTGTGCATATATATATATATATATATATATATATATATATATATATATATATATATATATATATATATTCAAATAAACAGGTTGTTCATCATTCAGAAGAGGGAGTATTCATAACCTTACTTCCTATGTTTAGTTCAGTTATCAGCTATCAGTTATCAATTTCAGTTACCGTATTTACAGTTCTTTCCTTCAGTTGTTTTACATACCAGTGCAATTCAAATGTACTGACGTCCCTTTTTGCCTAGGGCCTGCATCTCGCGATGTAGGTAACGATTTACAGGTTGACGATTCTGCTTGCTAGGACATCTCGTATCAGCTAGTGGTGAGCCCCAATCTTTCGGGGCGTTATCCCTCCCTTTTTCAGTCATTATAGTATTTCCGTTAATAAGGTATACCAGGGACCTTGTCCCGGTAAACAGTTAGCATTTTCAGTATTCTTTAGAGGCTTCATAGACTATAACCCAGTCAGTCAGATATTAGCAGGCTTTCATGTGTTAGCCTTGTCGGCTACTTGTTTATACTTGTAGACCTTTCAGTATTTTTAGCATCTATGATATTTCAATCAGACTCTTTAGTAGATTATCATATTTTATATTTACCTCTAGCTCATAGTTATACCACATGTTGATCCAGCCATATAGTTGGTTCGCTCAGTCACATGCAGTCAGGCATCGAGTGTCGTGTTACACCCAGACCATGGTTCGGGGCATGACAAAGCTTGGTATCAGAGCACTAGGTTCAAGAGTCCTAGGGAGTCTATTAAGTCGTGTCCAGTGGGGTCTCTTTTATGTATGTGTGCGCGCCACACGTGTAAATAGTTGACCACCAAGACATTTAGGATTGTTCCGTTTCTTTTATACTCTAGATCGTGCAGTTAGAGCTATGCTTTCAGGAATCTTTCTAACCCGTGTGAATTGCGTATTTCAGAAGTAAAAAAAATGCTTGCAAAAATAAAGTACACGAGGAGGGCCTCAGCTACTAGCTAGGGGGCCATAACTAATGCTGCTCAGGAGGAGGACACGCCGGCTCAGGGGGTTACATCGGGCTTAGTGCCCAGTGCTTCAGACATGGATGTTTGGGGAGCTATCCAGTTGCTTAACCAGATTGTTGCTACTCAGGCTCAAAGGCAGGGAACAAGTGATGTTCATGAGACGGGTAGTTCCAGGTCTAGGGAATTCCTCAACATGAATCCTCCCGTCATCACAGGGTCCAGAAAGTATGAGGATCCGCAAAACTTCATTGATGAGGTTCAGAAGATATTTTGAGTGGTGCATGCTACAGACACTGAGGCAGTAGAGCTTGCTGCGTATCAGCTGAAGGATGTTGCCAACACTTGGTATGAAACATGGGAAGAGTCCCGAGGGGAGGATGCGGCTCTTGCAATTTGGAAGGAGTTTGCAGATGCGTTCCTTGAGCACTTTCTGCCTATTGAGGTCTTGGAAGCTAAGGCCTTGGTGTTTGAGAGACTCAGACAGAATGATATGAGTGTGAATGATTACTACCTCAAGTTCGTCTCTCTGGCCAAGTATGCTCTGTAAATGGTACGTGATTTGAGGGCCAGAGTTAGGCGGTTTGTGTTGGGACTTACAGATGATTTGTTTGCTGATGCTAATATAGTTGCTCAGAATAATGACATGACCATCACTAAGATGGTTGCCTTTGTTCAAGGGAAAGAAGACAGGTTGAAGGAAGAAGAGCGGCTACAGAGAGAGAAGGAGAGGGAATTCAGCAAGAGAGCTAAGTCTGCAGGAAATTTCAACCATGGGGGATCTCAAGCAGGAGGAAATCGCCAGTTTTTCAAGAAATCAAAATCAGGACCTGCTCCATCTTCAGCTAGTGCACCGGTTCAGAGGTCAAAGTTTAACAAGAAAAACCAGAATTTCAGAACAGCAGACTCATAGTCACAGGCTAGTGTGGGCTACAGAGTCCCTGGTTACCCTATTTGCAATACGTGTGGTAAGAGGCACCCAGGGTTGTGTCGTTTGGGCATAAATGGTTGCTTTGGGTGAGGTCAGCAGGGCCATTTTTTGAGGGATTGTCTATCAGTAAAGCAGAACAATAAAGGCAATGTAGCTCATTCCACTAATTCAGCAACCCATCATAACTCTCAGGCCCAACAAGGGCGCGGTGCAACAAAGTCTAATAATGTAGGGCGGTGGTCAAAACCGCTTGCATGCACTGGCAGGCCATCAGGATACAGAGGCTCGTGGAGATGTTGTCACAGGTATGCTAACAATATTCACTATTGATGTCTATGCTCTTAAAGATCCGGGGTCCACCCTATCTTATGTAACCCCATATATTGCTAAGAAATTTGGGAAAGAACCAGAAAAGTTTTGTGAACCCTTTGAAGTGTCCACTCCAGTTGGAGAATCAATTATAGCAAGGTGTGTCTTTAGGGGATGTCCAGTCAAAGTGTATCATCATCTTACTGTAGCAGACTTAGTAGAATTGGAGATGGTAGACTTCGATGTGATCATGGGCATGGATTGGTTAGAGACATGTTATGCCACAGTGGGTTGTAGAACCAAAATAGTAAGTTTTGAATTTCCCGGCGAACCAGTCTTAGAATGGAAGGGTGATGTAGTAACACCTAGGGGTAGGTTTATTTCCTATCTTAAAGCCAGAAAGATGATCTCCAAAGGATATATCTATCACCTGGTTCGAGTTAAGGATACAGATGTTCAGATTCCCACTCTCCAGTCGGTGCCAATTGTAAATGAGTTCCCAGAAGTGTTTCCCGATGATCTCCCTGGAATCCCTCCCGATAGAGAGATTGACTTTGGAATTGATCTACTTCCAAGCACTAAGCCGATATCTATCCAGCCTTATAGAATGGCTCTAGCAGAGTTGAAAGAGTTAAAAGTCCAGTTGAAAGATCTTCTAGATAAGGCATTTATAAGGCCAAGTGTCTCACCCTGGGGTGCACTGATCTTGTTTGTCCGAAAGAAGGATGGGTCGTTGCGTATGTGCATTGACTATCGTCAGTTGAATAAAGTCACCATCAAGAACAACTACCCTCTTCCCAGAATAGATGATCTGTTCGATCAACTTCAGGGTGCCCAGTGTTATTCCAAGATTGACCTCAGATCAGGATACCGTCAGTTGAAGGTTAAGGAAGTTGATATCCAAAAACAACTTTCAGGACTCGATACGGGCATTTCGAATTTTTGGTATTGTCATTCGGTTTAACGAATGCACCAGCAGCTTTCATGGACCTTATGAATAGGGTCTTCAAGCCTTATCTTGATTTTTTTGTTATCCTGTTTATTAATGACATCTTGATTTATTCCCGTAGCGAGACTGACCATGCAGAACATCTCAGAATTGTGTTGCATACACTGCAGGATCACAAGCTGTATGCAAAATTTTCTAAGTGTGAATTCTGGTTGAAATCGGTAGCGATTTTAGGCCATGTCATCTCAGGGGAAGGCGTGAAGGTGGACTTTCAGAAAATAGAGGCAGTGATGAATTGGCCTAGACCCACCTTAGTATCCGATATAAGAAGTTTCTTGGGTCTAGCCGGCTATTATAGACGTTTCGTAGAGGTATTTTCTTCTATCTCGTCCCCTTTGACCAGGTTAACTCAGAAGAAAGTCAAGTTTCAATGGTCGGATGCGTGCGAGAAAAGTTTTGAGGAGTTAAAGAAGAGGTTGACTTCAGCTCCAGTCCTGACACTACTGGAAGGAACCGAAGGGTTTGTTGTTTATTGTGATGCTTCAGGGGTTGGTCTTGGGTGTGTATTAATGCAGTACGGTAAAGTCATAGCCTACGCGCCGAGACAACTCAATGCTCAAGAGAAGAACTATCCGACTCATGATCTTGAATTAGCAGTTGTGGTGTTTGCGCTTAAGATCTGGCGCCATTATTTGTATGGGGTACATGTTGACATTTTTACAGATCACAAGAGTCTCCAGTACATCTTCAAGATTATGATGTTTATATCCTCTATCATCCGGGGAAAGCAAATGTTGTAGCCGATGCTCTTAGTCGGCATTCTATGGGAAGCTTATCTCATGTTGAGGCAGACAAGCGAACTATGATGAAGGAAGTCCATCGCTTAGCAAGTCTAGGAGTTCGACTTTTGGACTTCGAAGATGGTGGCGTTGTTCTCTAGAACATGGCTGAATCCTCCTTAGTAGCTGAAGTAAAGGAAAAACAGTTCAGTGATCCATACTTATTGCAGCTGAAGGAAGGAATTCACAAACACAAGACTATGGCTTTTGAACAAGGGGGAGATGATGATACCTTGAGGTACAGAGGCAGGCTATGCGTTCCAGACGTAGATGGGCTCAGAGAGCGGATTATGTCAGATGCCCACAATTCCGGGTATTCTATTCACCCAGGCTCCACAAAGATGTATCATGATCTTAAGGAGGTTTATTGGTGGAACGATATGAAAAAGAATATAGCAGATTTCGTGGCTATGTGTCCAAATTATCAACAGGTGAAAGTCGAACACCAGAGACCTGGCGGTTTTACTCAGAATATAGAAATTCCCGTTTAGAAATGGGAGATGATAAACATGGACTTCATGACAGGTCTACTTCGCTCGTTTCGGAAGCATGATTCGATTTGGGTGATTGTAGACCGACTTACCAAGTCAGCTCACTTCTTGCCAGTGAAGAGTACAGATTCGGCCGAGGATTATGCCAAGTTGTATATCAAAAAAATTGTCCGATTGCATGGGACTCCTTTGTCCATTATCTCAGATCATGGTGCTCAGTTCACACCGAACTTTTGGAAATCCTTTCAGAAGGGATTAGGCACAAGGTTGAACCTCAACATCGCTTTTCATCCTCAGATAGATGTCCAGGCGGAACGCACCATTCAGACTCTTGAGGATATGTTGAGGGTGTGTGTTATTGATTTTAAAGGTAATTGGGACGATCATCTACCTCTCATTGAGTTTGCTTATAATAACAGCTATCACTCTAGTATCAAGATGGCACCGTACGAAGCTCTGTATGGGCGAAGGTGTAGATCACCAATTGGTCGGTTCGAAGTCGGAGAAGCGGAGTTGTTAGGACCCGATTTGGTCTATCAGGCTATAGAGAAAGTCAAATTGATACAAAGGCATTTGAAGACGACTCAAAGTCGCCAAAAGTCCTATTCGGACGTGCGGCGTAGAGACTTAGAGTTCCAAGTTGATGATTGGGTGTTTCTGAAAATATCGCCCATGAAAGGAGTTATGAGATTTGGGAAGAAGGGGAAGCTTAGTCCCCGCTATATTGGGCCATATAGAATCCTGCGAAGGATCGGACAGGTAGCTTGAGTTAGAATTGCCACAAGAACTAGCTACTATACACCCAGTGTTTCATGTGTCCATGTTGAAGAAATTCATGGGACACCCATCACTTGTGGTTCCTACGGAGATTATAGGGGTTAAAGACAGCCTGTCTTGTGAGGAAATTCCAGTGGCTATTCTTGATCGTCAAATCCGCAAGCTCAGAACTAAGAAAATTACTTCAGTAAAAGTGCTTTGGAGAAATCAAAAGGTTGAAGAGGCTACACGGGAAGCCGAAGGGGACATGAAGTCTAGATATCCCCATCTCTTTGAAGAGCAAACGGAAAATGTGGAAGGTAATTAACCTTTCCATTCAGGCCTTATATTATAATCTCCATGTCCTTCAGTACTTACTCAGCTTAGTATTCAATTATCACGTACTCGTTCAGTTTGATGTACATGTATTCATGATATTTCAATATTTGCATATCACCATCACGCCCGTTTAATGTCCATAGATAGTCGTAGTTGCAACCAGGACCATCATTCGAGGATGAATGATTCCAAGGGGGAGATAATGTAACACCCCGTAAATTCAGCTTAGGTGTGAATGTGTTAAATGAGTGGTAAGGTCATATTTTGGACATGTGAAGTTCCATTGGTATGATTATTGGTGGAAATAGTTAATTAGAATCAAGACGAAGAGTGAAGTGTACAAGATTCGATAAAATCTACGAAGTTTACAAAAAGATCAGTCTTTCAGGAGGTTAAGTGAAAAGCTTCTAAGTTATTTGGGAAAACACAAAACACGAAAGTTGTAAGCCTTTGAAATAGCTTTCCAACGATATATTATAGAGCCCGAACGGATCTCTGTGCAAAAAGTTATGCGCGTTTTACAGAACAATATGCGATATGCGCGCCCTGAGCGCGCCCCTAGCGCGGCCGCGCTTCTTTTGAGGCAGTGTTACTGCCGTTTTGCGCGGTCAGCAGCGAGGTCAGGTCTACAGGTGCGCAGGCGCGCTCGTGGGGGATCGTTTTAAAGCCCTACTTTGTCTCCCACAGCTCCAAAACATAAAAACTTGCTCTAGAAAGGGGAACTCTCAAAAACCTAACTCCTTAAGGGTCCTTCCACCACCCAAGGTAAGTTTTAATGGTGATTCTAAGTTATTTTCAATTTTCCAACATCTTATTAACATGGGTAAACCCTCCATATCATTAGATATTCGATTGGGACATCATTGTTGAGAGAAGGAAGCCTAGAACTCGAATTCAAAGGGTTTGAACTTCAAAAAGGTAATGTCTTCACCCTCTAATTGATTCTAGCATTGGTTTAATGATTTTAAACCCTAGTTCATGAGATATGAGTTGATGGGTTTGATAGAAAAACATGAACGATTATAGGTTTGGGGTGTTGATTGTTGATTATTGGTTAAGGGTGTTGTTTACTTTATGGGTGATAAAGAATAATGTTGATTATAACCATTTGAGACTTTAGAATTTATCTAGGAACAAGAGAATGGGTTATTGGGTGCAGAGACACCATTAATAAGGACTATGAAGCTTTATTCTCACCAGGTATTTGGTAAGATACTTAAGTGACCAAAACATGAGCATCATAGCTAATATGGAATCCCTTTGACTTGTATTGCTATAGATTAAAGTTGAAAGGGTTGACAAATGTCGTATTACGCTCAAGAACAGGAAGTTAAGGTATGTGAGACTAACTCTCTATGTTTGGGAATGTTAATTATTTTCCCTACATTATGTTCCTTTTCCCACGTTACTAATTGCCTCAGAAATATAGTTTAGCCTAATTCCTTGAATAGTTGTAGAACTTCTATTCTCCAGCTTCATAACTCGTTCATGACTTTCATTCTGAACGTTGTGAGCTCAGTTCGTATTCAATATAGACTTGGGCTTGATGTCCCTGAGTCTCAATATAGCTTACTCAGCATGTCATAAACAGTTAAAGTTTCGATGTTCATAATCAGTTCAAGAATACATGTCTCCGTCTAGTCCTATTCAGTAATTCCAGTATTATGTAACTCAGTGTGACTCAGCATTTCAGTATCATGTATTGTAATATGATTCTCAGTTCCTAATTTTATATTCTAGAATGTTGAACACCTATATTTGGGCCTGATGCCGCAGTTTACGCTTTATGCATCTTTGGGCCTGAGGCCGCAGTTATGTATATGTAGTGGGCCAGAGGCCGCATTTGTGCATATATATATATATATATATATATATATATATATATATATATATATATATATATATATATATATATATATAGGGCCTGAGGCCGCAATTTGATATTCAGATAAACATGTTGTTCATCATTCAGAAGAGGGGGTATTCATAACCTTACTTCCTATGTTTAGTTCAGTTATCAGCTATCAATTATCAGTTCCAGTTACCGTATTTATAGTTCTTTCCTTCAGTTGTTTTACATACCAGTGCAATTCAAATGTACTAGCGTCCCTTTTTGCTTGGGGCCTGCATCTCGCGATGCAGGTTATAATTTACAGGTTGACGATTCTGCTTGCTAGGACATCTCGTATCAGCTAGTGGTGAGCCCCAGTCTTTCGGGGCATTATCCCTCCCTTTTTCAGTCATTATTGCATTTTCGTTAATAAGGTATACCGGGGACCTTGTCCCGGTAAACGGTTAGCATTTTCAGTATTCTTTAGAGGCTTCGTAGACTATAACCCAGTCAGTCAGATATTAGCAGGCTTTCATGTTTTAGCCTTGTCGGCTACTTGTTTATACTTGCAAACCTTTCAGTATTTTTCGCATTTATTTTATTTCAGTCAGACTCTTTAGTAGATCATCATGTTTTATATTTACCTCTAGCTCATAGTTATGCCATATGTTGATCCAACCATACAGTTGGTTTGCTCGGTCACATGCAGTCAGGCACCGAGTGCCGTGTTACACCCAGACCATGGTTCGGGGCGTGACAGCTATAGCCAACAGGATGGTCTAGATTATTAGGAGACCTTTTCTCCAGTGGTGAAAATGGTTAAAGTGAGGGCAGTTATTACTTTGGCTGCTATTAACCAGTGGAATCTTTACCAAATGGATGTCTATAATGCCTTTCTTTAGGGTGACCTGGAAGAGGAGGTTTACATGCAGCTCCCACCTGTTTTTGGTAGTCAATGGGGGAATAAGGCTTGTAAACTACTCAAATCACTATATGGGCTTAAACAAGCATCAAGACAATGGAAATTGAAGCTTACAAAAACTCTCTTACTGGCAGGATTTTCCCAAAGCAAACATGATCATTCTCTGTTTACTTTGAGAAAGCACAGTAGACTTGTCGTCATCCTTGTCTATGCTGATGATCTTCTCATCACATGAGATGATGAAACTTTAATACAAGAAGCCCAAACTATACTTCACAATGTTTTTAGGATTAAAGATTTGGGGTCATTGAAGTACTTCTTGAGGATAGAAGTAAGTAGATCTCAGAAAGGTATATTGCTATGTCAGAGGAAGTATGTAATTGAGCTCATAGTTGAGTTGGGACTGACAGGCTCAAAGCCAGCTGTAACACCAATGGAGCAGAACAGGAAGCTAACAACTGTGGAATATGATGCGCATTGTGATCTGAATGATGATTCATAACTTACATATTTGAAAGGTTATCAAAGGCTCATAGGGGAACTTCTTTACTTAACATTGACAAGGCTTGATATTGCCTATACAGTGCAGATCTTGAGCCAGTTTATGCAAGCACCTAAGAGATCTCATCTAGAAGCAACATACAGATTGGTAAGGTACATTAAAAATGAGCCAGCGCTAAGCATTCTAATGAGTGAAAATGGTGACATGATCTTGAGAGCATACAGTAATACTGATTGGGCCAGCTGCCCAAATTCAAGAAAATCAGAGACAGGGTATTTGGTGAAGTTTGGTGACACATTGATATCATGGAAATCAAAGAAGCAGAATACAATTGCAAGGGATTCAGCATAGTCAGAGTATAGAAGCATGGCACTGACAATTTCTGAATTGATTTGGTTATTGGGAGTGTTCAAAGAGCTAGGAATTGCAGTTTCTATTCCCGTTCAGCTGTTCACAGATAGCAAGGCAGCAATGCAAATAGCCAGCAATCCTGTATTTCATGAGAGCACCAAGCATATAAAAGATAGACTATCACTTTATAAGGGAAAAGGTGCAAGAAGGACAATCCATCATGTATATGTTCCAACAGAAGATCAAGAGGCAGATACATTGACCAAAGGACTTGGCAGCGTGCAGAATTATCATTTACTGTCCAAGCTAGGTATTTTGAACATCTTTACACCACCTAGCTTGAAGGGAGTGTTGAGATGAATAAAGTAACTGTTGGTGACAGCTGTAAGTCTAACAACTTAGAGGGTGAGAAGGACATTAGGTAACAGTTGTGCACTCTTGGCCATGTTAGTTATGATAGTTGGCTAAGTGGTTAAGTTATTTAGCAGTCAAGTGTATAGTATATAGCTTAGTCTTGTAAATGATTCAGTTAGTTTTAATATAATTGGGGTTTTTTCTAGAACTGTCTTTTTTCTTCTTTTTCGATACATTCAGAAGCTCCATTCTCACGCTTCAATAATGAGATTTAACATTAACACCAATTAAGAACATCATGCAAAACCCTATTTTGCTTGGTGATTGCGAGTGTTTCAATTAGGAGCTTAAAAGACAAGTGATAAGTGTTAACTAAAAAGCATTATATATATTCAATGTGGAAAAAATGTAGAATTTTAGAAAAGGCCCTTTTTTCTGACGAATACTATGAAGGTGGGGGTGTGAAATGTTTAAGCAATCGACACCTAGCACTATAGCCCATAGATAAAGGACAATATCTCAAATCAGTGATAAAAGTAACATCAAATCTATGATTTATTCCTCTCTTTTCCCTCATTCCATTCACGGATCTAATTTGGAGATGCTAGTTCATTTAAGTCTATAACTTTTAGCTTATATATATGATTTTATCAGTGTAAAACCTACATAAATTGTCAAAAATATTGAACTATAAACCTTGAAGTAAAACAAATAGATGGACATCTAGGGATTAGAATTTGAGTTAAAATTTCGAATCCGCCTCTACCAACCACAAAGCAAAGGATAGAAAAACAACAAAAGCTGGAGTATCAATAATGCACCATCCCTTCTTGATTTGTTGTGTTAACTGATGATAGGCTATAATTACGTATTTTAGTCGATTATTACACTCTAATTTACTGCACTTTAATTGAGTTTGAGCTTTAATCGCTAGTGTTTTGCACTAATTGTATGTTTTATGCCTTGTAGGAGTGATTCCGAGCTATATAGATGTTATGGAATGAATTCAAGTGGTTTGGAGCTTTAAAGATTGAGTAAAAGTTCAAGGAATTAAGCCGGGATCGTGTTTGGGGGTCAGCGGATGATAGTTAGAGCGAACGAAGACTCAAGTAGGCAGATTGCGCACTGTCTAGTAAAATAGACATAACTTTTCGCTCAGAACTCCATTTTAGCTCCACAATATATGGTTGGAAAGCTAACTCAAAGGGATACAACTTTCATGTTTTACGTTTTTCCAAATTCGGAATGAAACAGGGTGACCAATTCCCAGATATGCGGCCGCGCTAGTTTTAGCGCGCCCAGAAACAGAAAGTCAGCCAATTAGCGCGTCCAGATGCGCGGTCAAATGCGCTGCAAGGCTAGTTAAGCCCGGGAAAAGGGTCATTTTTCACATTGAAGAAGGTATAATTGTTTGGGTCCAACCCTACTTGGTATATATACATAGGAGAACGTTTTTGAGAGCAATTTTTGACGAAGGAAGAGCACAGAGCCGCCGTGGAGGCCGGGTTTTATCTTTTCTTCCACCCAACTTAGTAATTTTTATGTTTCTTTGTATGATTTGTTGGTTTGCTACCATGTCTATGTGGAGCTAAACTTCACGTTCTAGGGTTGTGGTTCTTTCATGACTATTGTTATTCGGATATTGATTTTGATTTCTTAATTTATCATATGGTTTATTTATTCAATCCTGCACTTAATTATTTGATTGCTTGATCACCAATTGAATACTATCTACGAATCTAGATTGAACTCGAAAGTGGGAATTCTGGATTGCATATAGGATTGAGTAGAGCAAGTTCTTAAACCTGGGCCTCGGGGAACGGATTCGCGGTTAGGATAGACATATACCTAATTGCCTTGCTTGGTTAATTTACAGGAATTATAAATGCGTTCTTGTTGATTCTAACTCCATAGACATATAGGCATTAGGTTAGTTTGAATAGGCGAGTAAGAACTCGACAGATTCTTATGAGCAATATTAACCCTGTCAACCAATAAACTAGATAAATTAGTTAGTCAATTCAATTGAAGAATACAATAGGAATGTTAGATAGCCCATAACCCTAGATCGTTTTCATTACATTGATACCATAAAAATCTGCTCTTTCTCTGTCCAAAGTTCATTATTTGTTTTTGTTTATTTTAATTAGTTTAGAATCAAATATTTCTAGGTTTAATTCTTGTTTAGATAATTAGGATAGTCTAATTTAGTTAATAGTTAATCACAAGTCCTCGTGGGAACGATACTCTACTCACTACTTTATTACTTGACGACCGCGTGCGCTTGCGTGTGCGTTTGGCCGCAACAGGAGGCCCGACTGGACGTATACAAGAAACTTCTCGTTGCGGGTCGTGCCACTGAGGAGGAGGTTCAGGAGCAGTGGCGTGAGGCTCGTGCCGCTCGGGCAGTCTGCGGATATAGTTTCGACTCTTTTGACCGGGAGGGCTATGCTTCAAAGGACATTAATCGGCTGGATTCCGACTCCTGGTTCAATGAAGCTTACCGCCTCGGTGCTGACGGCCGAGATGGAGAACAAACGAGGGGCGATGGGCATGATGGCGAGGCTCCTTAGAATTTGTATATGTTTTGCTTTTTTGTAGAATGTAATAGGGGCCCTTTGCGGGACCGAATGTATATACTTTTTGTCACAATGTATGAATCATACCGTTGCTGTTAATTCTTTTTGTGTGATTCTTTGTTTTTTGGACCTTCACCTTCGCAGAGCCGGTATCTGTCTGTTTGTAGAAGATTCGTCGCCTCTGGGTAACGCCGAAGTGGTACAGGCGGTCTCGTGGGTGGTCCCCTGGGGCTAACCGCCATCGTAGATAAGTCGAAACCCGATCTTAGTGAATAAAGCGACAAAATCTTAACCGTTGTTTGAATGTTGTTCGTCGTAATCGAGCTTGACTGACGCTTAATGGCGATGGCTTTCGCCAAGGGGATGTTACTTTGACTGTCGTCGAAGTGTCATCCGTCGTCGTTAAGCGGGGTCGGCGTTTATTAGTGGTGGCCTTAGCCGATAGGATGTAGCTTCAATTGTCGTTGAAGTGCTACCCGTCGTCAACGAGCAAGGTCGACGTTTAATGGCGATGGCTTTAGCCAATAGGATGTAACTTCAACTGTCGTTGAAGTGTTATCTATTATCGTCGAGCAAGGTCGACGTTTAATGGCGATGGCCTTAGCCAATAGGATGTAACTTCATCTGTCGTTGAAGTGTTATCCATTGTCGTCGAGCAAGGTCGACGTTTAATGGCGATGGCCTTAGCCAATAGGATGTAACTTCAACTGTCGTTGAAGTGTTATCCGTTGTCGTCGAGCAGGGTCGACGTTTAATGGCGATGGCCGTGGCCGTTTACACAATGGAGATGGTGGCCTTAGCCGTTTACACAATGGAGATGGTGGCCTTAGCCGTTTCTATAATGGAGATGGTGGCCTTAGCCGTTTACATAATGGAGATGGTGGCCTTAGCCGTTTCTATAATGGAGATGGTGGCCTTAGCCGTTTACATAATGGAGATGGTGGCCTTAGCCGTTTACACAATGGAGATGGTGGCCTTAGCCGTTTACATAATGGAGATTAGTCCCTTTATTATATCGGCCTGGAGATCACGTCGAGTGGGTGATATGATAAACTTGCCCTCAGATACCCCCGGGTGTCCCCTCTGCCGCCTCGTTAAAAACCTCCCCGAGAAAACCCAATTAAGACAAAACTCTGGTAAGGGAAAAAGAGTACGACTCGGGAGACGCCTTTTAGAAATGGAAGTACTTGAGGTGGGCGACGTTCCAGTTGTTTTGGAGTGTTTTGCCTTCCATTGTTTCCAACTGGAATGCTCCTTTGCTCGCTGCTGCTGTGATTTTATATGGTCCGTCCCAATTGGCGCCCAGTTTCCATTCGCTCGGGTCTTTTGATGCCTATGTTTTGGCTTTGAGGACGTAATCGCCCACTTTGATTGGTCTTATTTTGGCTTTTTTGTTTTAATACCTTTCGACCTGTTGTTTTTAGGCTGCCATTCTTATGTGGGCCATGTCCCTTCGTTCTTCGGCCTCGTCGAGGTCTTGAAGTCTATTCATGTTGTTATCTGCTCCGCTGGTATGTGAATACCTTAGGCTCGATTCTCCGATTTCGACGGGTATAACCGCGTCGGTTCCGTAGACCAGTGAGTATGGCGTTTCCCTCGTGCTGGATTTGGGGGTGGTCCGATGTGCCCACAGCACTTCCGGTAGTAGTTCTAGCCACAGCCCTTTGGCTTTTCGAGTTTCTTTTTCAGTATGTTCAGTATCGTTTTGTTGGAAGACTCTGCTTGGCCGTTGGCGGCGGGATCATATAGCGTGGAGAGTATTCGCTTCATGTGCCATTTCTCGAAGAACTCGGTTATCTTTTTGCCAATGAATTGGGGCCATTGTTGCAGCTGATTTCCTTGGGGATGCCGAAACGGCATATGACGTTTTTCCATATGAAGGTGATGACTTCCTGTTCGCGTATCTGGGCGTACGCACCTGGTTCCACCCACTTGGAGAAATAGTCAGCTAAAACTAACAGAAATCGTACCTTTCCTCGTCCCGCTGGTAGGGGGCCGATTATGTCCATTCCCCACTTGATGAAGGGCCAAGGTGAGGTTACTGAGTAGAGAGGCTCCCCCGGTCGA